ACAGCCTCAGCTGCAAATGCTGAAGGATCTCAGCTGAGTACCAATGTTGAATTGATTTCCAGGACCAGAAATATAAAGTAATTCTCAGATAATAAATCTTTGCTTATTTCCAAAACCAGTATGATGTATTAACCATTATCTCTATTTTGATAGAAACAGGGAAGATCTAACAGTTCTCAAAGAAAGCTTCAGGAACCTCTAAGACTGAAAAGAGCACTTTAACAAATCTCCCAAGTGTTCCTGTCACACACTGCCAGCTTCCCTAAATTTCATTCAGATTTTCCGATTTCATCTCTAAGCAATGCAGCTTGTGAGATGACCACTGTTACCTGTGTTAACTTTGATCTCACCTGCACACACAGAACAAACATGAGCACACAGCTCTGAACTCATGAGCACACTGTAGGGCTCAAAAGCTGATCCAGATTTACACTGATGACTATGAATGTCAAGGGCAGAGAGGGCCTGGATGGGTCAAGGGATCTACTTCTTCCCTTCATCTACCTACCAGGCCAAAGGCTTTTCATCAGGATTTCTTGATGGAGCTCCAAAAAACGTGTGCCAGGTGGCTTTCTGGGAAGACCCGGGAGCTCTCAAGAGTCAAGCCTCCTTGCAAGGATAAGCATGGGCTATTGCTAGAGAGAGGACTAAGAGTTATGAACAGAAACCAGACTCTGTGTCTCATTCTGCCACATCAACCCATCCCTGCTTCACCTGGTAAACCTCGCACAGGACACCAGGAAGGGGCCGTTTTCCACAGGGTGAAAGGGTTGGACAAAGATGCCTGAGGAAGACAAGAAAGGTGCCAGCTCTGTGACAGGACTGCTTGTTTCTCCCTGAGGAGCAGCACAGGAGGGATGAACTTGCTGTGCTCTGCACACCAGCTGTGAGAGATAGGGAGGGAGGGACTGTGGGAAGGGAGGTGGCAGCAAGGGGTGGGGAAGGCAATGAATGTGCCGAGATGGGGAAAAGCACCTTCACAAAGGGCACTGGCTGCACAGGGGTGCTGAAGGACAACAGCACAGTTGCAAACTTGCTCGTCTCTCTCCAGGCTTTGCACAGGCAGGAGTCCACACTCCACTACCTCCCTGGGCTCACAATGCCTCTTGCATCTTCTCTTTAGTTGAAGATAATTAAGTCACTGCTTGTGCTGGATCTCACCACCCTGACCAAGATGAGCAGACAGCCCTTGTGGGGCAATGGCTGCAGCACAGGGGCTGTCAGGAGCAGGTGACTGCTGCCTGCACCCCTCTGTCAACTCTGCTTCCATTTCTGACAACACACCAGTGGAGTCCCAGGACACACAGAGAAATCTTGTTCAAAAACAACAGTCAAATCAGCATAACTGCTCAGCACAATGACATTTCCCTGCCCAGTAGGTGACAAGCCATGGGTTTACAGTCAGTCCCTCAAGGACTGCATGACTTTGATGAGCATGCCAAAATCCAACTTTTGCCTTAAATTGTTTTTTTCAACACCTAGACATCAGACTGAAGAATTCTGCAAAGTAAGTAGGATTTAAGACAGCTCCTGAGCTGATGACTTTCCAACACCCACAAATGTCCTGTTGACACCTCAGGAGGAACATTCAATTTCAAGAATATTCCTGAAACAACTCTGACAATTCACCTCACCATGTATGAATGTTGAGCTGAGAACAGTTATGAAAGTGAGTGAAAGTACTTTTTTATTATGTCTCTTCTCAGCATCTACCACTAAACTAAGCACATTTACTAAACTGTCAGTGCCTTGGCAGGAGACAGACGGGGGTCTCAGAGAGTTGAGGATGAAGCAGTTTGGGCAGGGGCTGCACAGGAGGCAGCTACAAGGGAACGAAGTCCCAGAACTTTGCTCAATCCAAGTGCAGCCTGCTGCCAAAGGAAGGGTCCCAGCCTCCCGGAGCCCTCTGTCTGCACCCTCTGCCTTGGGTCAGCTCCAGCCATCTCTTCAAGAAGGATGAACAACCCTCCCTCCCTCCTTCCTTCTCTGCAGCCTTTGTTTTGTGTCAGATCAGTGGGTGCATGTGGCTGCAATGTGTTGCTGGGAGCACCTGGAAGGGCAGGGTGCTACCCCTCAGCTGTGCAACTGGGCAGAGCCCTTCCCTGACAGCACCAGCATCTTTGGTCAGATTAAACCAGTTGCAGAAGGGCATCTTCCTTCTCTCTACCTTTGCACTGAAGCCTGCGAGGAGATAGGGAGGATGGAGGAGGTGAAGCAGTAAAGCCAAGCTCCCAGCACAGTACTGCTCAGAGCTCTTCATCCCAGCATGGGCAGACAGCTGTCAGTGCACCAGACCTGAGGGCCTGCACACTGCTGGGCTCCCCCAGAGCCCCTCCAGCGCTCAGACCCTCCACCATGTATTTATCTGTCCCAGACTATAGGTTCCTCCTGCAGCAAAGTATTGAGGTGTAGGAAAGATCCAGGGACTACCAGCACAAGTGTGGTTAGGGGAAGACTCAAACAGACCCACAACCAGACTGAAGGCAAGGTAGAACTGTTCCTTCTCCACACGGGACTGGTTAGTCCTGTACCCTCAATTTCAAAACAGCACACTGCTCAGTTTTCAGTTTTACTGGGTGCTGGAGCAGAACAACAATGATGACAGGACACAGTAAATACCCAGTGTCCTCATATTTACTCACTGGACAGTTGATCTCATCTAATTAAGGAGCATTAAACCATCTCCTCTCTTTCCTCTACCTTGTTAGACTATTGGCTCAACAATTCTGTTCTCCACAGGCATCACAGAACACCCACGGCTGCCTTTGGAGTGTGCCAGACACCAGTGCTATAGGAGTGAAAGCGTAAGCAAAGACTTCACAGCTGTAGCCTGTGCAAGCTGCTCTACAAATCAAGGCATTTTCACTGCCTCCTTTTATTAATGTTGTTTAAGACCCTCTCAGGTAAATCTAACTAAACAGCAGACTTCTCCCCCTCCTTGTCTCTGACCCGATAGCCTGTGGTCATCCCTGCCAACCTCCTGTTCACTTGCTCAGCCAAAGCTCAGCATTCACCTACATGGATGATCTGAACCAAAAACATGGGATCAAGTCCACCAGGATTTATCAAATCCTCAACAACTCACAGAAATCAACTTTCTCTTTCAAAGCACTCCAGGTTTCAGGGTTTCATCTGCTTCCAGGGTGCAAGTCACCTCAGTGCTTCTTTGTGCTGCTCCACCACATGCTCTCTAGGCACAAAGGCACAAGCTCACTGCTCATCCTACACTGGCTGCATCTCCCGAGGTTTGGAGCATGCTGCAACATGTTGCTATGGAATATACCTGCAAGCAGTAACACTTGCAAACTCTTATAAATAAGAAAACCCACCCACAACAGATTCCCCTTGGCTCTTGGAGTCCCTGATCGCACACTCAGCTTTCCCAGGCCACTGGAAACACCTCCCAGAGGCTCAGGACAGATAACTTGTTTCTTACACTGAATAATCTTATTTCTCAGTCTCTCTCTGAATATCATGTCAGTTTGGAAGGTAACATTTCCTGCAGTTCGCGTGTTCCAAGCCCTCCCATCCAGCTCCTGCAATACTCAAAGTGAACCGTTCCTGCCCCTCGGGGGGAGGAGCACCGTGCCAGGTGCCAACACTTCAAGAGATGCAGCAATTGATGATCATCAGCTTTCTTTTGAACCCCAGACAGATGAAGGCAGGCAGTAAACACTGCACTCAGCTTCCTTTGTCTGGGCACAAAAGCTTGTAGAAATTATGCCACTGCAGTTTACAGAAGGGTTTTCCCAGTTGTGAGGGTACTGCTAACTTAGTACCTCCACCGACCGGCCCAGCTCTACCTCCCTACAAGCATCTCCCAGACAAACGCAGGGAGCCCTGCAACTCCTTCCTTCCATGTACAGAACGCTAATGCCGCTCCAAAACCAAGCTGCATCTCGTGTTTAAATCAGGTAACACACGTCTCCATCTCAGGAGCGCTCACGCCGCTCAGGAATCCCACACAGCCAGAGAGCCTCTCCCCGCGCCCGGGCAGCACACAAAGGCACGGAGATAACCATTCCCTCAAAGGCCACACACGGGGCTCGCTCATCCACAGCCCCTCACCTTCCCAGGCCTCCTCCCCCCTCCTCCCAGGGAGCTCTTACATCTCCGCTTACAGCCCTCACTCCTCGTTCAAGCAGGGAACGAACTCTCCGAGGGCTGCCCGGCTCATCCCCAGTGCAGGACAAACGTGGCACTATTTGCACGCTCCACCATCAACTTTTCACGGGCATTTCTGGCCTTTGCCACACAGTGCAACGTAAAGACAGGTGAGCTTAATCCCAACTACTGTGGTTACAAAACATGTTCACTCATTTCAAGAAGTTAATTTTCTTCCGTAAAGAAGCAACAAAAACCCAGGAAAAGACAAAGGGGCCGATTTATCCTCAGCAAGGACTGAGGGCTCTCCTCCAAACTGCTCTCTGATCCCAGGGATGACACGGACCCCTGGCAGCCTCGTGTGCTCAGCAGACCCTGCAAAGCCTCGCGGGGCAGAAACAATGCTGGGCTCCCACAGGTGCTCTCAACTAACACAAAGATTGCATCGAACGAGGCACTAAAAATTGCTTCACCATCGCCTACAAGAGTTACCATAGACTGAGAGCACCATCGCAAACACCACAGGCTCTGGGATGCTGGAGGTTTAGGGGGAAGCTTCAGCAGCCCATGAGGAAGGCAAAGGAGAAAGTCACTGTAAGCCCCTGCTGCACAAACAGCTCCCGTAACATTTCAGACAAGCCTCCCATCCGCACGTGGAAAGGAAGCATCACACATCCTGGCAAACCGCGTTAGGAGCAGAGACGAGAGAGATCACATACCAGGAACGAGCTATGGTGCAAGCATTTCTGACACCAGACAATGTTTGTGGCGACACGAGACTTCTGCAGTCACCTGGTCCAGAGCAGCCCCGGGCACCGCACACCCGCCCTGTCCGCGGCCAAAGCCCCCCGGCCCGCACGCCCTCCAGCCGCCCGCTCCCCCCCTGCCCCACTCACCGAAGTACTCCTTCTTCATGTGCATCTCCAGCTCCTTCTCCAGCTCCAGCGTCAGCGCCTCCAGCCGCCTCTCCGCCTGGCTGGGGCCGCTCTCCCGGCACGGCGTCACCTGGTAGGGGAGCTTGAATTTGGGAGCCGAAGCGGAGCCTTTGGTCGGGCTGTAGGCGTAGGGGGGCGGCGGCTCGGGGGCGGCCGGGTGCTGCTGGTCGTGCCGCGGCGGGGACTGGGCATGGATGCGGTGGTGCACGTCCAGCTCGGGCACCGCGCCGTCCTCCTGCAGGCCGGGCCCCAGCAGGGAAGAGCGGGGCGAGGGCAGCTGCAGCTCGGGGTAGGCGCTCATGGAGCCGCGGGAGCTCCGCGAGCTCTGGCTGGAGATGCTGGAGCGGGGGCTGACCACGGCGGGGGCACGACCACCCTCGGGGCCGCACAGGCTGGAGCGGGGGCTGGCCAGGGCGAGCCCGGGGCCGCCCGCCCCCTCGGGCTCGGCGCTGCCCGACGGGCCGTACCTGGAGTCCGAGTAGCTGGAGCGGGGGCTGGCGGTGCAGGAGTACTGGCTGGCAGTGCTGGAGCGGGGGCTGGCGTGGCGCTGGTCGTAGCCCATGCTGATGCCGCTGGTGCGGTTGCTGCTGGGCTTGCTGCCGCCGCCGTCGTAGCCGGTGAGGCTGGCGCGGGGGCTGGAGTGCTTGCTGGTGTCGCTGGCCGTGCTGGCGTAGCTGGAGCGGGGGCTCAGGGCGGCCCCGTCGTACTGCACCAGGCTGGCGCGGGGGCTGCCGAACTTGTCCTGCCCGGGCACCACCAGGCTGGAGCGGGGGCTGGAGAACTTCTCGTAGGACAGCGCGGCCGCGCCGCCCAGGCTGGAGCGCGGGCTGGAGAACTTGCCGTGCTCGGCGGCGGGGCCGGGCGGGGCGGCGGCCAGGCTGGCCCGGGGACTGGCCGCGCCGAACTTGCCGTCCGGGCCGCCGGGCGCCCGCCCGCCGCCCTTGGCCACGTAGCCGCCGTCGAAGGCGCTGCCCGCGGCGTAGCGATAGCCCTCGGCCGAGTAGCGCTTGCCCTTGTCGGCGAAGCCGCTGTAGCAGGGCAGCGCCACCTCGGAGCGGGTGCACAGCCCCTCCTCGCAGCACGGCTCGGCCGCGCGGCCGTTGGCGCGGAGCGGGGCGGCTTTGCCGCAGGGGGCGGCGGGGAAGCCTTCGGCGGGCGGCGGCGCGGCCGAGCCGTTCATCTTCCGGCCCCGCTGCTCCGCCGTCATGTGGGCGGCGATGACCCGCTTGGTCTCCTCCAGGTCGGGGTGCAGCGCCAGGTCCCGGCGGCCGCCCCGGCCGTACGGACCCTCCGGGCAGGGCTCATACAGGGACAGGTCCTCCATGAACTTGGTGGCCTTCAGTGCCATGTCCTCCTCGTACTTCTCCATGCTCGGCCGGAGCCCGGCGGCCCGGGGCGGGGGAGGGCGGCGAACTCTCCGCGAAACCGCAGCCCGGAGCAGAGAAAGAAAAGGGGGGGGGCGAGGGGGGGAATCCAAAAAAATCCCTAAATCCAGCAACACAAAAACCAGCCCAAAAGAAAGCCCCTTCCCGCGGTCCTGGCGGGGCAGCGGCGGGACGCGGCTCCTCCTGCGGGGGCTGCGGGGCGCGGTCACCCGGGCGGCATCCCGCGCTGGGGGCTCGGAGCGGCCGGGCTGCCCGCGGAGCGCGGCCGGCGCGGTCGAGTAGCCCCTGTGTCACTTTCCAGCCTTAAATAAGTTGCCCGGTCCAGTCAATGGCGCGCTGCGCGGAGGAATTTGCGCTCGGCGGGTCCCGGCCCCCGCCGCCCCCGTTGTCCGCCCCGCGGCGGGGCCGCGGCCCGCCCGCACCCCCGGGCGGGGGGGAAGGCGGCGGCCGGCCCGGAGGGGCTTCGCGGCGCGGCGAGCGGAGCGCGGGGCGCGGCGAGCCAGGGACTCCTTTGTGTGGGGCAGGAATGCGAGGAAGGAGACTGGGCGCTGCGTCCCGCTGGAATGTAGTTAATGCCGGAGCCAAACAATGATTTTCCCCGAGTCAGGCAGGGAGAGGCGGCCGCGGCGCTGCTCGGCGGCGGGGTCGGCAGCTCCCTCCTCGGCTGGGCTGGCCGAGCCCGGCCCGGCCCGGGCGGTGCCGCTGCCCCGGCGGGGCTGTCACCGCACCCCGCTCCCGCGGAACCCGCGCTCGGGGCGCCCCGTCGGGAGCGCTCGGGGGTCCTCGCCCCGCGTGGAACTTTCCGGGACCCGCGGCCTCGTCCCGGGGAAGAGGCGGCTCTGCCCACCCACCCCCGACCGGGGTGCGCCCCGGGCAAGAACCGACATCTCGGCGGTGCTGCGGGGCCGGGGGTGCGGGAACAGCCCCGCACCTGTGCGGAACCCCCAGCACTGGCCAGGTGACTGCTGAAAGGACCTGTGCTTGTAGCACGGCAGCTGAGGGTTGCTGCCAGTTATTTATTAAGCCTTAAAAAAAAAAAAACAAAAACAAACAACAACAACAAAAAAAACCCCAAACCAAAAAAACCCACGCAGTGCTAAGACATATGATAAACATATTGTGGCCTAAAGCAATCTGTGAGCTGACGGGAGTTTAAAAAAGCAGCTACTGTCTGTGTAACTCCGAGAGCTTCATCTGTTGATCGGTAACAAAAGCCCCAGCACTGCTTTCCCATTTACATCTGTGTGCTCACGGAAAAGGCTGTCAGAAAACCACCCCAAAACAACTACTGAGCCGAGACCCCCGATACTAAACTGCAGCCTACAGTTAATTTTTTTGGCAACTAAGCTGCAACTCTCTGACAATCATTTGTGTCGATGGCAGAAATGCTGACAAGGCCCTAGCAAGGGGTACCTGAGGAGTGTCCTTTCACTGCTGGGTGCTGGGCACCCTGGGAAGAGAGAAATATGTCGCAAGTTTGAGCTATAGGCACTGCTGTGCCAAGAACATTTTATTCTGTTATCATACCTAATTAAACATTAAAAGCAACTGTGTACTCAGAAATGTCCCCAGCTGTGGAGGGCAATTGATTGGCAATCTGTTTGCTTGTGTGTGCAAAAAAAAAATCCAACAAACCATGTAAATGTGCAAAGCAAGATCTGAAAAGCAAATCTGTTAGACATGGCAGAGGCAATCCACTGTCAGTGTGCACACCCGTAGGCAAACACCACTGCTCTTGGGAGTCAAGTGCTCTTTTCTGTGTTCACATCTTTCATTACACTTTTTGCCCATCTCCTAAACAAGCTGTTACCACATGCTCCTGCAGCTTTACTACTTGTGGAACAAGTTACACTTCACCTGTAGCCCACAGGTGTGTGATGGAGAAGAGGCCTGTTGCAGTTGTGTCCTGGTGCAGACCATGCCCAGCTCACACAGCACAGGGCCCTCAGCAGGAAATGTGCCCCAGCACCGAGCGGGATCAACCAGTATTCCAGTGCCTGTCCCACTGCAGCCTTGGGATCAACCAGTATTCCAGTGCCTGCCCCATTGCAGCCTTGGGATCAACCAGCATTCCAGTGCCTGTCCCATTGCAGCCTTGGGATCAACCAGCATTCCAGTGCCTGTCCCATTGCAGCCTTGGGATCAACCAGCATTCCAGTGCCTGTCCCAC